GAGCTACCTAAACGTCTAAAAAACGTTTAAGTGTTTGTATTGAATGCATTGAATTTTTTTATATTTCGCGTTTATTTATGCATTGAATTTTCACGCTTTAAAATGCAGAATATTAGTGAAGCAATATTTGATAATTTATTTTGCTAATATGTTTCTCATTTAGCTAATGTTTTGATTTTTTCACCATGAACAATCTGAATAGCTATACTTTTTTAAAAGCCAATAAGAACATTGATAGAATTCTTCTACATAAAAACAATACTATGTCTTTGATGATAATATACTATGTCTTTGTGCTAGAACATTGTGTTCATTGGCGAGCGAGCGCAGCGAGCCATGGTTCACGGCGAGAACCACATAAGATTGCGTAGCAATTCTCGGGGGTTGGCGAGCATTAGCGAGCAGGGGCCGGAGCCTCCTAGTATCTTATAATTTTGTACCTTTTGTTCAGAATATTATCTGCTAAAGGGCTTGATAAAATGTCAGATTATTAATTATCATTATTATAATTCAGGTGTTTAGCATTAAGCACACTCTTTTTTTACCATCTAGACAAATATTTCATTTATTTCTTATTTTGCTTTTTATATTTTTTCCCTAGCAAGAAATATCTAAGAAAAAATTTATTTATTTCTAATGCCAAGTCAAGTCAAATTTCTTATTTATTATTAATAGTCTATTTTAAATAGTTAAGTTGTTTTATATTTTTAATATTAGTTTTTTTCGTTTTGTATTTATAGTATTCTAGTGCAGGAGATGATTCTGTGACAGAAGTGATAACAGATTTAGCACGTGGAACGTAAGATTTTTACTTAATTTTAACATAATCTTGATGTTTAATTTTTCAATGTAATATGCTTTTTCAATAACTAACTCAAATTGATTATGATATCATAATCTAATTAGCTTTTTAAAATTTTTTTTCAACATTTATGTTTTTATCTGTTTAACTAATTTTATCTTTCAGTCTTTGTCCAGGTTTAAAAGCCGTCTTAGAACATGGTATGAAAAAATCCTCTATACTTGGTGGACCTTGCCATCCATGGTTATTTATTGAAGAGGTAAACCTTTTTCAATTAATAAAAAAATTGATTTTCTATGATCTTACCTTCTTGTTTTAACAAAAATCCTACTTGCAGTTATTCTTATTATAGCTTGTAAAACTTTCTGTTCAATGAAAAATTATTTGCTTGGAACATGTCTTATTCACAACTCTTATATGATCTTTTGTACAACACATATACCGTAATTTCGCAGAGATATACCATCCTGGGATATACACAGCACCCGTCAAATTTAACTGAAAAGGAAAATTTTTTCACCTGAAAGACCGCACTATCGGATACGCCACACAAAATTTGACTGTGTGATCAGTCGCAGAGTTAACACATCTGTTTCAAATAACAAGTTATATACAAAATAAATTATTAAACGTTTAAAAGTCATTAAAATAATTATTAAATATGATATATCTGATTTTACTTAAAATCTGAAATTATGTATTTCAAAAATTTTCATCATAACTTTTTAACTGTACGCAATGTAGTTATATTGCGTAAAATTGTGCTCTATTCAAATGCATCACAATCGCAAACGCATTATGTTGATAAATGCAGATTTAAAATACTCCAAATTTATGTAAACCAAATGATTAAAAAACCTAAATATAATTAAAATAAATTATCAAAATAAATTTTACCATGGAAAGCAATTGCATCATATGGCTTTGTCGTAATTTGATTTGAAATACCTAAATATTATTAAATCAAATGATTAAACAGCTAAAATCCTTATAATAATTCAATAAAAAAGTAATAATTAAATATTGTAAATTGAATCTTGTTTTGTGCAAAATTGTACAACACAAAACAATGACCAAGACATTTCTTTTTATTATTTTTAAATTCCTATAATTTTGACCTATCAAATGATGAATGACTAAACACCTTTAAAATAATTTTTAATAAAATAGACATGAAAAATAGACTATTAATCTCATTTTGTACAAAATTAAAGCATAAAATGATTGATTGAACGCATTATTTTTTTTATAATTAATTTTATTNTAATTTGATTTGAAATACCTAAATATTATTAAATCAAATGATTAAACAGCTAAAATCCTTATAATAATTCAATAAAAAAGTAATAATTAAATATTGTAAATTGAATCTTGATTTGTGCAAAATTGTACAACACAAAACAATGACCAACACATTTCTTTTTATTATTTTTAAATTCCTATAATTTTAACCTATCAAATAACGATTGACTAAACACCTTTAAAATAATTTTTAATAAAATAGACATGAAAAATTGACTATTAATCTCATTTTGTGCGAAATTAAAGCATAAAATGATTGATTGAACGCATTATTTCTTTTATAATTAATTTATAATATTCCAGTTATAAATAAATCAAATGTTTAAACAGCTAACAATTGTTTAAATAAGCGTTAAATATAGAGCAAAACAGTTCGCCCATTCCTCTTTTATCCACATGCTCATTCTGTTGCAGCATTTTACTCATACATCTCTAAATTTTGAAATTGTTTATTTCCGAGAGTTAAAATTATAAAGCTGACTTTAAACTGAAACAACTTGACCTTCAAGATTTATCATTTACTACATTTTTGTTCATGCATATATAATACTAAATTCATCTTAAATTCATTGTTTAAAAAAATTAAATTATTTTTCTAAATTTTTACTTTTGTTTACAGGTTGCAAATAAAGAAGTAGAAAAAGATTTCAATTCTGTATATTCCAGATTAGTACTTTGCAAAACTTTTAGGTAACTATTTTTAATTTTACATTCATTAATAACATGTGTGACAGTCTGTATAAAGAATTTTCTAATGTCACTTCTCATTAAAAGCTTTACAATAAAGCAAAGTTAAAATCCCAAGTATTCAGATTTAATTGAGATCAAGTTCGACCTGAATAACTGGATAATTATTAAAGAAATTTAGAAGGAAATAAAACGAAATTTTATACAGAGTATGCATTTTTAATTTCTATTAAAACAATTTTTTTTTTATTGCTGCTTCTTTAAAATTGTAGTTAACTATTTAATTGTGTGTATCTTTAAAATAAGGTAACCACTTATTATTTGCCCTTTAAAAAAATAGCCAAGAGATAAGTATTAAAATTATTTTAGTTCTGCTAAAGTTTAATTATTGAAGTAGATAATATTATTTATTTTATTAATATAATGTTGAAATATTGTATTGCTATTACTGTAATAAGTTTTTTTTTTTTTTTTTTTTTNTTTTTTTTTTGCAGCTGTGGAAAATTAAAATGCATTTAGTTTTTTTATTCTAAAAGCAGTTTTAATCAAATTTCTTTATTGTTATTACATTAAATATCCCTTTTTTGCATATGATGAGGGGGTAAAACCTGTTATAACTATACAATATGTATAACTCAATTTAAAAATTATTTTGTAAGTTATATTATGATCAAATGTATGAATATGGTAATATCTATAGCCTCAAGTATATCTCACAAAATCTAGCTAGTACATCAAAAATGATAATAGTCAAAATTGCTGAATTTATTACCTTTCAGTGAGTAATCCAATATGTATGAAGGACCAACTATGTTGCAATGGCAGTTATATAGCTACTTATAGGGTGAACAATGTGCAACAATTTTGCAAATAATATTTTCTACATGTTTAAGAATTCATCAATTTAGCCCTTGGTTAGGTCCCAAATTAGGTCTATTCTTTACATGCTGAGTTCAAGTCAAAATAATTTATATTTGAAACTCCTAAAAGTTTCATGCTCAATGTCTCATCTGTAAAAGTAGATTCAGAATGAGATAAAATTCAATTCTTTTTTTTTTTCAAAGGTTTCTTGCAAAATAAATTTAATACTGCTTCATTCATTTATCAAAAGCAGAACCACTTACTATCTTATATTGTACATGCAATATTTCATTAATTTGATGTGAAATATTTTTCAGGCTTGACGAGGATGGCAAGGTTCTAACTCCTGAAGAAATATTATATAGAGTAAGTAAGATTTATTATTTCCGTTTGTTTAATTTGTTCTTTGAATTTATTTTCTTTTTTTAAAAAAAAATATTAAAGTTTTAACCCCTTCCTTCTCGTTCCCGTGAAAATGATGGAGTGAGGTTTCGCCCTCTATTTCTCACTCCCGTGATGTTCCTGGACTGGAGTGCTCGGTAGTAACGCACCAATAAGAATAAAACTAATTCAATTCTTTTGCCCGAAAAACATTTTATTTCTCATATCAGGTGGCAGTACCAGGATATTTTTAAGGTAATTGTAGATAGTTAGTTTATTTTAAACTAGATGTCAGCACGAATCAAATACGTGTGTAAGGAAAATAGGCACTTTTATGACTGTTTTCTTGAAAATTAACCGATCATTAAAGGGTTAAACATACTAGCTATGAACTATGGTTTTAATTATTCCTTACTAACTTTAACTATAGTTTTAATACTATTTTTTGATTATTTTCCAAAAATCAGTCTTCAAATGTTCCATATGCATATTTCACTATTGTTTATTATCTACTTTTTTATTTATCTACTTATTATTTACATATTACACAATTTTCTTTATTTTTCAACTTATTTATTATTTTTTTTTTAGTCTGTTCAAGCTATAAATTTATCTCATGATGCTGCGAATTGTCAAATGGATGTTAAGCTTCGTTCCCTTGTGTGCATAGGCCTTAAGTAAGTGATTTAATTAATTCATAAAAAATTTCATTATACAATCTTACATAGAATCAAATATCTGTTTTACAATTCATTCTATTCAATTTTTTTTTATCACTATCTCCATATTTCATGAACTAAAATGTGTATTTAAGATTATTTTTTGTTTCTAAATTAAAAATTTTTTCATTGGGACTATGTTAAATGACTAAACTTGTTTGGCTTGTTAAATGACTGTTTTTTATTTTGGGATGTCTTAGTTTAAAGCATTTTAAATTTTTTTTCTTTCAATTTTCTAATTTTTAGAGGTGTTGTAATTTGTGTCAATACAAAATAGCTGCAATAATTCCCCCAAAGCTATTTCATTTAAAAAATAGCCATGTAGTTATAAATGTTTTAGTTAAATAGAGAAATAAGTCATACTTTCAGGCTGTTGAAAAGTTACTTTAAATAAAACTTTTAAACTTTCTCATTTAGAACTACTTTTTTTAAAATTTGAATTTCTCCCAAACAAATAATACTTTTAACATACTGCTGAAAATGGGAAATATTATACCCATAGTTCACCATGCTTAAATTTTGTTTGGTTAAGTTTTATAAAAGTATAATTGTTTTGTATTCATAACTACTAGTGCGCATATACTTATCTAATTCTATAATACTATTTTTATAATATATTGTGATCTATAATCTTCTTAATTTTTAATGCAATCATAACTTTAGTCAACCATTTTAAGGAAAAATAAAATAAAATGAACAAAAATAACTGAAGCTGACTGTTTTTATCACATTGTAAACAGGAACATATATTAGTTTTTAGATGCATTGTCATACTAAACTGAACCATGATAATTTTGTTAGTTCTCTGTGTGCATGATGCAATAGTTACTTCTGATATTATTATTTTTTACCATATATACCTAATAACTGACTTCTGTGTACATTGATCATTGTATAAATTTAAAATCTGTGAAACTAATTATTTTATTAAAAACTAGTTTTACTTGTATTACTATAGTGTTTTCTCTGTAGTAAGAAATTAGAAAGAGGAGTTATTTTATTTTCTTGAAAACAATTTATTTTTTAGTTAAAATAAATTTTTATTAAAAATTATAGTTTTGTCCTCAGATTTAAAGTAATTATCAAATCTTTTCTTTTTTTAAATTAAGTTTTTTTAAGGACTCATCAAACTTAAATCTTTATAATTTTTTAAACTAATAAGTCAATTTTTTTAAAAATAAATAAATACATAATTATAAATTGTTATGTGAGCATATAAAAGTGATACTATCATATATTTTTTTAAAGAAAAGTTTGACCAATTTAGCTTTCAATACAATTTATAATTAAATAATTTCAGATTTTACATATGTTTCTATAAAATATGACAATGCAACTCTGCTGATCTCAAATTTTTATATAGCCCAGAGTGTCCTTAATTGTTAAATAGTTATTATAAAACAGGTAAATAATTTAATAAGTTATAAATAGTGTAGCTTCTATATGATTGACAATCTAATGGGTTAAATATTCATCTGTATTAGGTAGTAGTTTCCATCTTATGACTGCAACAAAAATTTGGATTTCAGTGTTTTTAAAGCTAGTTTGCCAATGTATCTCAGAAAAAAAAAAAAATTTATATTTTACTATGAATTGTAAATTAATTTATCAATCCTATTATAGATAACTCCTATTTTTATTCTATTAGCTACAATTTTGAGATATTTATTTAATTTTATTTTTTACTGCGAATGTAAAACAATGGTTAATATTTAAAGTTTTGATAGACCAAAATTATTGTTGAGTGACTATTATTATTTCCCCCTTTCCTAGTGAGCAAGTTCTTCATTTATGGTTTGAAGTTCTTTGTTCCTGTATCCCTGTTGTCCAAAAATGGTATCATCCTTGGTCTTTCATTAATAGTCCTGGTTGGGTGCAAATTAAATGTGAACTCAGGTAATGATACATTTCTTACAAAAATAATTCTTCATGCTACAGAGTATTTATCATTCAAAAATATATTGTTTTTACTAATTGTATTTTGAATCTGTTGATTTACCAGTTTTATTAATTTTCTTTCATAAGATTTTTTTTTCAGTCAATAAAATTGAATGTTTTGAATAATTTTGTTTTTATGCATAAAATATCTTTTCATATTTCTGACAAAATGTTTTTATTTTGGTTTAACTCTTGTTTCCCTTTCAAAGTTGAATTTAAAGCTATTTAATTTTGTATTTCTTATAATATATCATATTTGTCATTTTTGTTTAAGATTTATTGTTTCAAGTCGAGTTATTAAATTTTTTTTTTTGTAGTTTTTCAAATTTTTTTATGCAAAGTGCTTATATTAACTATGACTTTAAAAATAGCTTATAGTAAAATTAACAATGGATGATTTTGTTAAATTTTTTTTTAAAGTTGCATTTTAAACTATAGTTAAATATTATAATTTGAATGAAATTCTCATAGTATTTTGCAGCTTAAAGCTTATTCAGCTTCAAAGTAATGGGTACCAGCTTGTTTACGGAGTAAAGGGAACTGGAGTGCAATTCTGACTACATTACCACCATTGTGCGATTGATCCCCTCTTAACCTAAAAAAAAATTTTTTTTTTTTTTTTTGTCAATGAAAAATTTTAGTATTAGAAAATTTTGATGCAAAAAATTTGAAATTTATAATCATTATCAAAAAAGTTGTTTAGTTTTAACAATAAAATATGTTGAAACTATTATTTCCTACTTATAGGCCTCCTCAAAGAGAATTTCTTTGTAAAAATCAGTTGAAGTTTCATTACTGAATATTGTGACATTATTTTTAAAACTGTACATCTCTGTATATAAGTCGTCTTTTCACACCCCCAAAACTTTATGACAGTCAAGAGGTCTACTTATATACCAGTAATAAACTCGAGCATTAGTTGGTCATTAAATATCGATGCATTATAGCAGTGAGATAGATATGAATAACTCTGTATCAATCTATCTATTTCAAAAACTATTTTTATGCATGTTATATTACTTATAATTTCACATTTTATTTAATCATACTTTCCTTTCATATAAAGGCTTTTCATTAGAATCAATACATTAAATTTTGTTCAGAAGAAAATTATGTATAAGAAAAGTTAATATTATTCAAAAAATTTAACACAATGAAAAATTTTAAAACGTGCAATAAAGCTACAAATTTAAAGATTCCAGAACATTATCTGTATAGATGTGTTGTCATTTTACAATGGATTCTATTTCATCATGTGCTGAGTCATGCAAAATATCACCTCCATTCCCATTCAAAGAAATTAAAATTCAACACTTTTTAAAAGATTTTAAAATTGCATTTTTTCTACTATTTAACCATTTAGTATCATTTGACATATGATATGTATAGGAATTACAATCAACTTATCGACAGCGGTCAGCTTATGCTCCTGACATATTGGAAATTTGGTATCTCAACTATAAAATAGGGAGTCAGATGTACAGTGCGCCAAAAAAACCCCACTCTGAATAACTTAAAATCTAATGTTTGGATCATCACGTTCTAGGACTTAATCCTAAAGACTCAAAGGAGTGACCTTAAATATGCTAATTAATAAGTGCAAACGATATTTTAAGTTACGAAGTCAGACACAAAAATGTACTTCCTGTACACCTTTTTTTGTGGGATTTGGATTTCTGACCACCAAAATATAGGGAGTAGCCACAATCTGGGAAATATGATTCCAATATATTGGTCAGTAGAGCGTTCTAAAGTTTAATTCACATAAAAAGTTTTCGAGATATGGAGAACTACAAAAAAGGAAAAATTAACATTAAAGGGTCCAAACTTTGGACGGCTCTCCTGACCTAACTATTGGGACCATATTTCCCAAATTGCGGCTATTCCCTGTATTTTAGGGGTCAGAAATCAGAATCTGTCAATAAAAAGTTATGTTTATTCAGAGATAGGACATTTCTGTGTCTGATTTTGTAACTTAAACTATCGTTTGCGCTTATTAATTAGCATATTTTAGGTTACCCCCTCGAGCCATTAAGATTGAAACGTGAAGATCCAATTGTGGGGATAGTAGCTATCAACCATGTCAACCTTCATCTATGAAAAGGTACCCCCTCATTTAATCAAGTTAAATTATCTTATACACTGGAGAATTATAGTGGTAGATGATACACTATAGCACTCCCCCACCAGAATCTTATCTATAATAGAATTCAGTGTACGAGATATCACTAGTTGCTTCATTGCTGTTTCGGGAGAGCTGTATTAAGATCACCGTACTTTGAGTGCTGATCGTGAGAGCTGTATTAAGCTCACAGTCATGCTCGCTCCTGTGTTGCCTTTAGCAGTCGAGTGTTTACTTTGTACGTGATCGAGACTGAATAGCAACAGCGCGAGGAGGTGGATAATGTAGCAGTCACAAGTAGGAAGTCTACTTTTTAATGTGGACCATCCATCAAAGTAGGCGTGTTTAAACCGAAGTGGAACTTTCAGCCAAAGTAGGTGTATTCACATGACGTCCGAAGGACGCCAATGTGGGGAGAGTTGTTATTGACAATGCCAACTTTCATCTATGAAAATTTACCCCAAGATAGAATCGAGTTAACATACCTTATATACTAGCGAATTGGATATGTATTTTGTAGTGGTAGATAAACTGCACAATCATTTAATCAAAAGTTATTCAGGGTGGTTCATTTATTTTTGCACAGTACAATTTGTTTTGAAGTTTTTAAAAATATTTACATTCAGAATTTATCATGTTTCATTTTAATATTGTTAGTTAATAAGTTTTTTCTTTTACTAGACTATTAGCACAGTTTGCTTTTAATTTGAATCCTGAATGGGAGTTGCCAATGAAGAAGGAACCATCTCAGCCACTTAAAGAGGGTGTTAGAGATATGTTAGTGAAACATCACCTCTTCTCATGGGACTTGTGACAGTGATTCTGAAAATCCCACCATAAAATGCCAAAGTACTATAATGTCTTTTCTCATAAATAATGAAAGAAAAATTACATTTTATTCATGCCTGCTATTATTTTATTTTCATAAAATGTTTTACAATATTGATTTACCCCAACTCTCTTGTGAAGTTAACTTTTAATGAACTTTGTGCTCATAATGTATTAATATTCGTTTATCAAGTAAATTATACATCAGTTATCATTTATTTTTATGAATTGACAAAAATTTGCAGAATTTTTATGTTAAAAATTTGTTTTTTTTTCCTTCACATAGTATATTTTAAAGACTGAAATCATTCTCTAATGTCTCTTAATCAGGACTACTAATCATTAATGGATTTATGCAATTTTTAAATATGCAAAATAGATTAACATCTCATAAATAAGTTAGTTGATATAATAAATAGTTTTCTAAGCTACTCCTGCCAGTAAGCTTTGCTTCTGAATTATTTTGAAACTTTTAAAACTTGACAATTGCACAATTTACATGAAAATTTTAAAATATTGAGTTTTTAAATTTAATTTTCTCATTGTGTTTTAGTCTGTTGATTGTTCTGTTACATATAATTTGCAATATTATTTAAGATAATAGGGATCTCAATTGCATCCTTTAACTTTTTTTTTTATTGCTTATCACATAAGCATGACATGGCAGATTTGTCACTTTGTTATTATATTTTAAATATTTTTTCTCAAGATAGACTGACAAGACTCAACTCAATATTTTTATGTTTGTCACAGTATGAATTTATATTTGCAGCAATTTAAATTAATTAATAAGGTAAAATTTTTTTTTTTTACTATTGGCATACAATGACCAACGTCACATCTCACTTTTTCACAATGTTCTTCCTTGTTAAAACCAGTTTTGGGGGGAGATAGCTGGTTTTTCTAAATAGAGTCAGCTTTTTAGTGGGAATAGTAGAACTTATGCTTTTTTCAGAAGTTGCTTATGCTTCTTTCAGCGAGAAGTTGTGCTTTTTGCATTGTTTACCCTATCACCCAAAATAATAAAATTCATAAACATGCTGTAAGAATAACAATATCATACCAAGCAAACAAATGATATTACATCACACTAGTGAAAAAAAGTGATAAAAATAAGTAATAAAACTGCAATATTCAAGAAAATACTTATGCAAAAAGCCGCATGTGCTAAGAAAATTCTAAAACATATAATGGATAAAATATTTGATGCATGAATTGGTTATATTTTTTGTATTCATATTTTGCGCATTTTATTTCAAAACATAAAGAAATTATTTCTGTAAATCCACCTGATTCATTAGACTCAGGTTGAGTTAGAGGTTTGAGAATGTCATTTTAATTTTTGACTTATTTAGTTGCAACCAAATAATTTTTCTAAGCTAATTATACTTTACAATTATCAAATTGAGAAAGTTGTTTAAGGATTTCTTTATTTAAATTTACTTATGGATTTTATTATTTTCTGTCTAGTGCAGATTGTAAATATACATTACAGACTGCATACTGAACAGATCTGTACCACATATTTCTACTTATATGGTACAAATTTTAAAAGCTTAATTTCTGTGATAGTTATCATGAATTGAAACAGTTTTGAGCTGATATAATATATATGTATCATAATTTCTAATTAAATTAGTTCACCATTTAAATGATGTTCCTCGGTGATTTTTCAAGAAACCGATTTGCTTATGTTTCAATAAACTGGATGTACTTTAGCTTGAATAATATTTTTCTAATAATTAAGTTGAATTGTTTTTTCTTTTTATTTACTTAAAAAATTAATTTACTTAAAAATTAGTTATATCTAAAATTTTAATTTATATTAATATTAATCATAAATTCAAGTCTTTTGAGATTTCTAAACAAATGATATTATGGAATTTTTAGTCTCTTTGTAATCAACCTAAATATTTTTGTAGAATGTTCTAGTTTTATAAATAGGAGACAAAAAGTTAAATAATAATTGTAATCAGTAGACTGGAACATAATACTAAAAAAATAAATTTAAAAAAATAATACTAAATCTAAGAATAATTTTCATTTGTTTTCTATTTTTATCTAAGAAATTTATTAGTTTCTATAAATAATTATTTTAAATACAACTACCTAGAATGCTCATATGCTGCTCTTATTGTGCCCTTAATGTATAAAAGTGTTATCACTGCTTGTATATAGCTATGTTTTAACACTTAGCTTTCATTGCACTTCCAATTAAGTGTTATCTCTTCTCTAAATTATTTACAATAAATATTTTAACTTCTACACCATTTATCGTTTAAATTAAAAATAAAATTGTATTGATGCATGCATTTTTTTATATCAGAACTCCAATTATCTGACACCCTCAGAACCAGGAGTATGTCAGAAAATGAAATTTTTCGCTTATTTGGAAAAAGTGCCTTTTTAATTTATTTTGAAGTATACTACCCTTAAACATTGAGTAAAATGACTAAAATAAGTAAGGAATGAAATATTAAAATTTAAAAAAAAAACATTTACTTGTGTTTCATTTTCTATCAAAAATAACAATGCATTATCATTAAATTGTTTTCTGTTTGAGTGTTGTTTTAGAACTACTAATTAATTAAAAGTAAAAATCGACAGTTAATTGGGAAAGGTGCCTTTCCAAGTTGATTTTAAAGTGTATTAACCTATATGTAAGAAAAACCACTCAAAATATGTAAGGAAGGAAATTTGAAAAATTAAAAAAAAAACACTTGTTTAATTTTCTGTCTTAAATTATGATACATTATCATGAAATTATTTGCTGTTTGAGTGTTTTATACATGACAGATTTCAAGTTTCACATCTCTACAAAAATTGGGTTACATCATCATGATTAAACATGGTAATTAATAAAGAAATCTGTATCAGAATGCCTTTAACCCCGTTGGAAGGGGTATATGGACAGTGGTCGCATAATTGGGGTTCTACCATATTTCTGTGAGTTTTCAGTTTGAATAAAATTTTTATCATTATTGTTTAAGAAATATTTAATAATATTTTATTATTCTAGTCAGTGTTTGCACATTTTGTGTATAGGTATTTAGCTTTGATTTTTGTTATAAGGATATTAAAATGTCTTTCAGAATGGATGTAAAACATTTTCTGTACATTCCATTTTATTTTATTTGAGTTATATTCCTAAAGAGAGTGAACTTTTAAGTAAGCGTATTTATTTTTGTTAATATTATTATTATTATTTGCTGACTTTTACTGATTTTTTGTTTGTATGCTTCTTGTTGTTTTTATACTTTATTTCTAAATTATAGATTTCTTCTATTTTTCACACCTCAAATCATTGTTTTAGTTTTAAATGAACTTTTAAAATTAATGCATAAATAATGAAATATTTGTTATCTACAAATATAAGCGGAGTTATAATGTACTTAAAAATTATTTTTCCTTAAATATTTGAGCTTAGAAATGTTTCAATGTGGAACTCAAAGAGTTGTTTGAATATGGAATAGTGAGATACATTATTATTTGATGTTTGGATACTATTATATATGTTACTATTTCCTATGTTTATTGTCTTTAAATGATACTCTCTATTAAATATTTACAAAAATAAAATTATCCCACTTAACACAATTATTACTATTATGCTTAAATGTTTTCATGATTTTTTTTAATATATCTGAAATGTTTACATTTTGAAAACTAACACATAAACTCTAAGGCATGTTCTTTATTTCATTTTTTAAACTATAACTTTAGACATAAAGATGTTATTTCATAAACACTTTAAGATTGTGATTAGTGAAAGTGTAATGTTTGCATCACTGATAAGAATTATTAATTTTGGAATATTTTTACAAAAAACGTATTTTTCATATTTCATTAAATAAAATACAGATTTGTTTGAATTACTTTTTATTATTGTCTTACATTAAAAGAGAGTTTTTAGTATCTTCATAATAATGAATACTTCATTTATATTATTAAAGTCTTGAGCGGAATAAAGCAACTAGATTTTAAATTAGGTATTTTATTTATTTATTTTTTTAAAAAATAAATATATAAATTAAATTTTCTCTTTTGTAGTATTCCTTTTATCAATCATTTGCTTGAATAAAATAACTAAATTTACATAAAAATAACATAATATAAATAAGATGCATTGTTTTTACAAACTATGTACTTGGAAAACATTATTATGGAGGAATTATTGTTTATTTTTTTAAGTTATGTTTTTAATTGCTTAAGATTTCTGAAAATAAATTTGTTTACCTTTTCTTCGGGTATTTAATGTTTTTTTTTTCCTTTTCTCTAATTTTTAAATAATCTGAAATAAAATTCTTTTATTCAGACTTTTTTTTTTTCAAATATTTATATTAAAAGCTATACACTATATTTTGCTCAAGACTGTTTTTTTATTAAGTAAAAATATTTAAAAATTCAGTTTGTGAAATATAATTATATACTTATAATAGTAGCTTATTTTATCTTCTACTGCTAGTTTTGAATAGAAAATATCAAAGTTTTATCTTTACTTTTTCATTTAAACTTGAATATGCAATTATGATAAATTTAGGCATGATAAATTGTAATTAACATTGTTTCTTTTATACTCTAAAGTTAGGTGACTGTAATACCTGTATAAGTATGTCATAAATATTTAAGTAAACTTATTCTGTATTTTTATTATGTTTGTTTAATTTTAATTTTTTTTAACGTTTTTAAATGTTGTGTTATGAAAAGAAAGAAATTTAATATTTTATTTAAAAGTTTTATAAATCTTATGATATTTATATATGATTGATTAAAAAATAAATACTAATATATTTTATTTATGAAAATTACTTTTATTATTTATTTAATGCAATAAATTAATTCTCATATAATGTCTGATTGGGGTGGGCAAATTACTTCTTAGTTAGTGAAAAGTATTTTATAAGTATTATTAGATGGTGTGATTGTGCAGAATAGCCGAGGGTGCTTTTGAATATTCTGATTCTTTTTAGTAAATTACTAACTTTATTTTAATTAATATACTGAATATAAATTATTATTGATATTGTGCTATAGCTTGAAATTTTGACAGTGTCATATAGAAGGTGATCATAAACTTTCATCTGTCTAGAACTTATTTACTAGAAAATTATTAGAATAAATATGACCTAATATCACTGCAGGAAACAAAATGTGAGTGTAAGAAAAATTTATAATGTTTTTTGGAAGAAAGAAAAAAAACATTAAAACAACAAAATTACTTTTGAAATTATTTAACTCATTTTAGGCCAAGCATAGAAATTTTATAAAATTTGGCACTATTTTCATTGAATTATGCTTACATTACATTTATTAAGAAACAAAAAAGCTTCATGTATGAAAAATTATATTTTATGTAAGAAATAAAATGATGTTTATTGACCCCATTCACCAAATAAACAAACAAATCATTTAGTTGAAAAAAATTTTTATGAAATTTTTTTAATTTTCTGACTTGCAACTTTAATCTATCATAAAAACATATGATACATCTCAAAAGAATTAATTATACATTTTCCAAAATTTCATTTGTCAATAATAACCTTTTTAAGTTTAAAAAATTTAATAGTTTAAAAATTTCTCAACAGAAAATGTTTACTCTTATTTAATTGCTAATAATTTATGGATATCTTCAGAACCCTTGACAATCGCAGATACCCTTGCAAATAGAAAATAAAATTAGTGTCACAGTGTTAATAAAAAAAATATGTCACAGTGTAAAAAAATATATTTATTTATAAAAAAATATATTTATTGAAATGGTGCGTTTGTGTACCTTTGGCCAAAAATGGGCTAAAACAAGACAAGATTGTGTTACATTAAAATTATTTCAATTGTAATCCATAGATTAAAACTTTTTATTGAAAAGACTAGGAGTTTGGCAATATATTCTTTCTCAAAATTACATTAGTTTTCTCTTCGTGTTTCATTTATAGGTTACTGTCCTGTTTTTTTTTTATATTTGACGTTATTATTCAAATAAAGTAAATGAATAATAAGTTTTAATTTAAAAAAAAAATATTAACATCATGAGTTCTCAATTTGTGCCTTTTCTGCACTGAACAATTGTAATCATCAAATAAAATGTCAAGTTTTTATGGGATCCATTTCTTTTCTGCACCAATTAATTTCTCTATCTACAAATGTACCAAAACCACTGGCAACTCAATTACTTTAAAAAGAAAGTGACCTTAACCGTTTCTGAAATAATAAATTTGATTCTTAACAATTTTGAATGATGTGTAAAAATCAAATGACTATTACTGCTCTTATAAACCAATGTTTTTTCATTTCTCCCATTGTTTAAACAAATAAATTTGCATGCTTAATTTATTTCGGAATGAAATATTTGAATCCTGGCTCATAAAAACCATACGAAACTAAATTCAATTTCTTAAAAAAGGGAAAAATGCTTTATTTAAAATGGTGCTTTAGCCAATTGCCATTTCATATGTTATCGATTTTTATTCAAACTGGCACTCTGTATTATTTTATGCTCGCCAATAAAAGTCTAATATCTAGGGAGATAGAGCATTCGCCTTCCAATGCGGTGAACCGGGTTTGAATCCCAGTTGATATGAATTCCGCATCCGGCTTGCACCTATCACAGTGCTGTTGTGAAATATCCTCAGTGGTAGACGGATCATGGGTTAGAACTCCCCTTGCCGACAGGCTAAACGTGGGAGATTTTCATGTTCATCCTCTCTATGTAACGCAAATGCTGGTTAGCCCCATCATGAAGTCCTCCATGAAGGCAAATTTCTCCCAATACTTGATCCAGGAGATTCTTNATGCTTAATTTATTTCGGAATGAAATATTTGAATCCTGGCTCATAAAAACCATACGAAACTAAATTCAATTTCTTAAAAAAGGGAAAAATGCTTTATTTAAAATGGTGCTTTAGCCAATTGCCATTTCATATGTTATCGATTTTTATTCAAACTGGCACTCTGTATTATTTTATGCTCGCCAATAAAAGTCTAATATCTAGGGAGATAGAGCATTCGCCTTCCAATGCGGTGAACCGGGTTTGAATCCCAGTTGATATGAATTCCGCATCCGGCTTGCACCTATCACAGTGCTGTTGTGAAATATCCTCAGTGGTAGACGAATCATGGGTTAGAACTCCCCTTGCCGACAGGCTAAACGTGGGAGATTTTCATGTTCTTCCTCTCTATGTAACGCAAATGCTGGTTACCCCCCTCATGAAGTCCTCCATGAAGGCAAATTTCTCCCAATACTTGATCGAGGAGTTTCCTTGTCTTTTGGATTGGGTTCAAAATTACAAGGCTGCAGAGTTGAACATTAGTAGCCATAAACCAATAAAATTGAGTCGGCTGTTCAACGACTGTTATAATATAAAATAAAACTTATATAATATTGTGGCTAAGGTAAAATATTAATAATTAACTAACCACAGACGTTATCCAAAATGTCTTCGTCTTTAATATTCATTGTTAAAATGGTTTTGTGTGCTTCTTAAAAGGAACCCAGTATTAAAAGAAAATGAAATCATGTAAAAACAAAATAGTCTCATGAAGAGAATTCATTTCATGTTCAAACTAAGAAATGGCTAAAATGCACTATAACAATCAAAAAATATAAACCCATACATTTCAGCTAATAAAAAATAAAAACTAGAATGATTTTATGGATAATAATAGTAGGTGGGAATATAAATCCGGAGATCAATCATCAATAATTCTACAAATGAAAAAAATAATCTTAAATATTTCGAGGACCATTAATGATTGTGATGTTTTTTATGATCATCTTCTGTATCAAATTATTAAAATCCTTTAATTCCTATAAAATCAATTATATATGTTACAGGCAACTAAGTAGGTATGTAGAAAATGTGTATAAGGCTTGGCATTTTTAAGCAAAGTATGGAATTTAATTAACTTTACCTTGATATTGTATACAATGACAAATGTTCTTCTATGTTAATATGTTTTGATTTGATGGATGTAAATCACGTAGAAACTGCATTAATTTGTGCAATGTTTAAACATTTCATGCTTTGCTAAAGGATTTTTGGCATTGTATACTATGTTGGGTTTCCTACTTTGCCAGCAACATATCTAAATTAAATTACCCACATGTCATGTATGAGTTAAATCTTTTTGCCATTCATTGTAAAATACAATTGTAATATTGATACAACAAAAAAAATTATTATCTTTACTCCAGATATTTTTTTTTGTGAAAGCAATTAAAACCAAAAATTTTTTTCTAGTGTATGCATTTATTTTTTTCTTAGCATTTATATTTTGATGCTTACAAACTGTATTTATTTACTAATTTTATATGCTTTCAAACTATTTTGTATTGTTTCCATTTTTGTTTTTAAATATGTGAAAATTGTATATATTGTGAGAAATGTTGAAATCGGGTTATTTTTGTCTATCCGACAAATTTTATGAAATAAACTAGTGTTGCAATTATTTTTGGTCATTTATTTCCGCATTGTAATACTAAATAATGCACATTATCTTTAACACTTACATAGTTTCCTACCTATTTTTTTATATTAATCAGAAATGGGAAACTTAAAAATTTGTTTTGTCATTTTTTTTGTACGAACTTAAAACAGGCTTTATTTTTTTTATAATAATTATAAAGAAAAAGACTTTATTTAAAACATTTTTATAGAACATTCTTATAGAACATTATAATAGTGTAAGTAAAAAATAATAATAACAACACTCAATAAACGTGTAGCACAAATTGTATATAACCCATCAGTCATATTAAGTAGTATATTAATTTTTAAAAAAAATACAAATTTGGTGAGAAACATATGAATATTTATTTAGACACCATATACAGAGTGCCCAAAATGTATTGAAACTGTTAAATATCTTGAATTGGGTACTTGCAGCTCAAGCAGAAGATGATTACTGATATACAGACATGTGACCTATGACTTCAGCCGATCATCTATAAACAAGGTGACATGTTAAAGTCGAATAAGTTTTTCCTNACTTTTATAGCATATTTTAATTCTAAAAAAAGGGTCTTTTTTAAGAACTAACTATATACTAATATTTAATTTTACTCTTTTGTTGGTCAATATATGATTTTTAATTCAAAAATTTATAACAAAACATTAAATAATTAATAAAAAATCTTGCCAAATTATCAAGATATGTTAAAAAAATAACATTTTGAATAAAATATTTTATAATATCGACACTTTTCTTGTACCCACATTCTGCACTTTATTAGAATAAAGAAACTAAAACCTGGAAATTTTAAGATTTTTATCTGGAAAANATTTTTTTTATAATAATTATAAAGAAAAAGACTTTATTTAAAACATTTTTATAGAACATTCTTATAGAACATTATAATAGTGTAAGTAAAAAATAATAATAACAACACTCAATAAACGTGTAGCACAAATTGTATATAACCCATCAGTCATATTAAGTAGTATATTAATTTTTAAAAAAAATACAAATTTGGTGAGAAACATATGAATATTTATTTAGACACCATATACAGAGTGCCCAAAATGTATTGAAACTGTTAAATATGTTGAATTGGGTACTTGCAGCTCAAGCAGAAGATGATTACTGATACACAGACATGTGACCTATGACTTCAGCCGATCATCTATAAACAAGGTGACATGTTAAAGTCGAATAAGTTTTTCCTCATAAGTTGGAATGTTAATGTGGAGTTAGTTAAGTACAATGCCGTATAGCACATTGAATTTGTTAAAATATAATTCTTTCTTGTCTACGTCTTTTACTTAACTTAGATATATTATTTATTTATGCATTTTATTCTAACCGTGATACATTTTTGTTTTGTGTACCTGGCAACTTCGATGCATGATTAAGTTGTTTATGTTTGACATGGTTCCGTGTCTTTCTTTGTGTTGAGAAATATTTAGTGAAAGAATACAGAATGTCACTTAAGATAATAGATTCTTGATAGGCTTGACTTGCACAAAATAGAATGGAAATAACTGTTGCTAACGTAAACTACCAATCAGGGTCTACCCACAATACGCCACTTGCAGATATCCCATTACACGTCGATCAAAAATCTAAAAGTATGTGCACTTACGAAATATTTTTATAAGATTCCTTCTGGTGCTTGGGGTTAGGGTTGGGAACCCTGGATACTTAGTTAAAGTAGTGACATACCGCCATGCTTGTGACTGCAATTTACTAGTGACTGCTACTTTCAATAAAGAAATACTGAGTTTCTATTTTTAAACGGACATTGATTAAAATTTTCATAATCTTAAAGACAACTTAAATATTTACTATTTTTTCTTTTAATTCTTTTTTTTTCTTTCTGAAATTATATATTTCGTTTTTATTCTATTCAGGGAAAATAATACCCTATCTACCTAAAATAATACCTTATGTATATATTTCGTCTTCCATAACATACTATAATTTTTTTTTCTTAACTCTTTACAATTTTTGTAGTCGGTTTTTTATGAGGTTCAAAGGTTTCAATACTTTAAAATTAAAGCATGTGATAAAATAGTTAATAATTAGTTTATTTAAATGTTAGCTTTGTCACATTAAAAGACGAAATAGATGAGTTCTGGTTTGTTCAAAAATTAATAAGTATTTTTTTGAGAATTCTAATTCCTATTATATAAATATTACAAATTTATTTTGCACTGTAGCGAAATTTTACTATAATGAATGAGATATTTAAAATAATTAAAATTAAAGAAACGAAGAGTTCAAATAGAAATTGGATCATCTTACTAAAACGTAGAAATTTTAAATTTATTTATTTGAAAATTATTTAATATGTTTCGCAAGTTTACTTTTAATTCTGGCAGTAAATATTTAAATGCTATTAAAATCTATTTTTATAGCTTTCTAACCAAGAAATTATTCAAGTTAAAAAATAATCTTTGTATAATCTATTTTCATTTCCTTCAGGTGAACATATTAATTTGTTAAACCTTAAATTGAAAAAAAAAACGAAACTTATTTGCTCTGCATTTATATAATATATATAAATTTACATAATATCTATATATATATATTTCTCTTACACGGCACCAAAAAGCCTCATTACAACTCCCCGAATGGCGGCGTTAGAAAATCGACCAATTATTTATTGCTGCTAAAAATGTCACATGGCAAATCTAGTTGAGGTGGCTCAACATATAGCGCTTTTAAAAACGGAAACAATAACCAGAGTGAGCATTATCAGGTTGTTCAATTCTGATTTATGCCCTAAAAACATGATAATATTTAATTTAAACCGACTCAACATTTAGCTCTTTTAAAAACGGAAACAATAACCAGAATGAACATTATCAGGTTGTTCAATTCAGATTCATGCCCTAAAAACATGATAATATTTAATTTAAACTCAATTAGGAATTAATTAATTAATTGAATTGAGAATGCTTTGAAAGGCCGCTGTTGAATTGATATTTGTCTACTGGGAGCTACCTGAACGTCTAAATAGCCAATAAGAACATTGATAGAATTCTTCTACATAAGTACAATACTATGTCTTTGATGATAAAATACTATGTCTTTGATGATAAAATACTATGTCTTTGATGATAAAATACTATGTCTTTGATGATAAAATACTATGTCTTTGATGATAA